TTCGATAATCGAGAGACCAGAGATGAGAGAAAAAAGAATGATCGTTTAGCTCCTATAAGAGAAAAATTCGAAATGTTCGTAACCAACAGTACAAAGTGTTATTCACTAGAAGCAAATGTGACAATTGATGAAAAGCTTGAAGCTTTTCGTGGCAGATGCAACTCCATTCAATATATACCGTCAAAACCGGCCAAGTATGGTATTAAGATTTTTGCCCTTTGTTGATGCCAAAACATATTATACTAGTAATATAGAAATTTATGCCGGACTACAACCAGACCGACCATATTCCATGAGCAATAAAAGCATTGATGTTGTGAAAAGGATGATATCACCCATACACAACACTGGACGAGACGTGACTATGGATAATTAGTTGTGCAAGATTTATCTACAAACCATAAGTTGTCCATAGTAGGAACAATGAAAAAGAACAAATGGCAAATTCCAAACCAGTTGAAAGTCCTGAAATACCGTTCTATACCATCCAGTATGTTTGGTTTCAGAAAAGAAGGAACAATAGTATCCTACGTTCCTAAGAAAAACAAACATGCTGTACTCATCTCAAGTTTACATTTCGATGATAAAATTTATGAATCTATATACCGAAGATAAAATGAAACCTGAGATCATTACGTTTTATAATGAAACTAAAGGAGGAGTCGGCGTGGTAGATAAATTGTGTTCCTCATACAATGTAGCCCAGAACACTAAACGTTGGTCAATGGTAATATTCTTTAGCATGCTCAATGTAGGAGGAATCAACTCTCAAGTTATCAATGTTGGAAATGGATGTCAAACTGAAAAGCGGCGGCATTTCTTACGAGCCCTTGGTAATGAGTTGGTGAGGGAACACCTGCGAAGACGTAGTAATTCCAACACTGGTCTGCCGCCTATGATATCAAGCCGGCTCAGAGAAATAGTTGATCCAGAAGAAAATTTGCAGCAACCAAATATTCAAAATAATGACCCAAAGCGTAAACGTTGTGTACTATGTCAGAGAGAGAGAAGCGTACGAAATTAAAAAAATTTCAATGTTCCTCCTGCGAGACACATCTCTGTCTGCAACATTCTAGCAACGTTTGTCGAGATGGTTGTGCAGGTGCTACTAAGAAAAGAAGATTTAAAGGTATCCATTTACTGATTTACAGTTCTTGAAGTTTTCACCAATTTTATGTGATGAATATTACCCATTTTAATTTTAAGAATCACTTTTATTTTGAAAATTACATGTTATAATAATATTATGGCATTCAATCGTTGTTTACTATCATCCTCGAGTCAAANAGTTTGGTAGTTTGGTGTGAACCTGGCTTAGGTAAATAACGTAAAGCGCGCTTATGTTGATCAGGTAGTCTGGTGTGATAATACCTGTACTTGGATTAGGTAAATTGTCAGTAAAATTCGTTGATTCTTTTCTACCTGCTGTCATGTTGTGTGTTATTCTTGAACTTTTTAAAATGGGATTCCATATTGCCATATTCGATTGAGGTTCACAGCTTCTTCTTTTCTGTTGAAGTTGTCCGTGTGTTTGTGAATTTCTATCGCCTCCCGTACTAGTCGACTATGGTATCCCTGGTCGGGGATACCATAGTAGTTCCGTATTCTCAAACAGAATCATGTAGTCTCCTTCACTGAGTGCGTCTTCTGTCACAGCCGACTTGTCCGTTTCATGCTCCTTCCTATTTCATTCAAAATTCATTATTTTTTTCACTATAAAAAATTTACAAAACTTCGATACGTGTTTCGTGTTTCAAACAAGCAGATTAGTGAGTTTTAATATTGATTTTCATATCAAGCATCAGCTAGTTCCATTAAAGTTTGACTAAGTTTGGAGTAGGAATTTATTAAACCAACATAGGCATAAAGTTGGATTTGAACATATTTGTAGCAGGAACGTTGTTCCATTGGCGACGGATCTGTGATCAGATCTGATGAAGTTTATGTTGATACTTGCTGCGAAGGAAGTTCTTTACTGCTATGACCTTTTTGGTGTGGAGCTGTTCCACATAACTCTCCGGTATACAGATGGTATGAGCTGCTTTTTCCTCTACACTTCTCTGCGAATAAATATCTTTTGAAATAGACCATACCAAAAGCACACGTTTACTCTTTCACCACCCTCAAGGATTGATTAAGATTATTTCTCCTTGAGGCACAAAGTTTGAGAAGATCCATATTGAATGTCTTCGATGTCAAGGGTGCTGCAGCTGTATCCACCAGAATCATCCATCATTAAACCGCTATTCATTCATAAGAAATGTAGGTAAAGCTCAGTCGATAGCTAGTGTGCAGGTTCGATTCCTTATCGACCCTTTATGTGGGTCGTTTTCGAAACTCAATTGGTGTCATGTGTAAATTGGGGTCGGATGACTCTTGCTTTCATTCGCAAGTTAAAATGTCAAGTATGTTTTAGATATGTATTTGGATACAGCGTTTCTTTATTTCTGGAAACAAAAGTGCTGATATATGCGATTAATCTTGGAATGAATTTCCTAACTACGTCGTTCATGAATGTAGTCGCCCTAAACTACGTCTCGGTTTATGGTATTGATCTTGTCGGACGTGAGGTAGGTCACGTACTCGTATCGGACCTTATTTTCGCGACGCAATTTTCCGACGGCTGTAATTCACGCTCTGTGCACATTTTGATGGAAAATCGATTTCAGGATATCACCCTTTCTCGAGGATATAACAGGATTTCGTCTCGTTCTCTTGACACACCATTCAATAAACATTGGGTATTTTATGGAATTGATTCTAGATTCTACTTGAATATGATTCAAAATAATGATACTTTTTTCAGAAAAAATTTTCAAATGTCAGTCAGAAAAACGGTTTCCCTGAAGAATATTGCTCACAGAATTTACCTCATTTCAGTACAGTCTATTCGAGTCAAAACTGAAATGATTTTTAATGGTTTTCAGGTTTTCAACCTTCCACAATCTTGAAAATTAATTAATCTACATCAACTTGAGTGTAATAAGGACCACCCCAAATAGTTACTGTGTGATATACATCTCTAGAGAGTCCAATAAGTCATTAACTTGTCGTTGTTCATCCTTCTCACTCGACTATAATGCACTGACGAAGAATAATGACCCAGAAACACATCTCTGCAGTTCACCAACCGTTTATTTTTTTTATGATTGTCCGTGATTTTTCTCTTTGATTATGATTGTTATGTTATGTTATATCAAGAAATACAACACAGAAAAGCAGTTAAAACCATAGGAATCATATAAAAAACACAGAACATGGAAACAGACATGTTGAAATAAGTATGCATTTCATCACAGGGCAATAATCTGCAACACTGTGAAAACATAACCTCATGACCTATAAGTGACATGATATAGGATACGTCACGAAATACAACACAAAGAAGCAGTTAAAACCATAGAAACCATTTAAAAATACAAAATATGAAAACAGACTTGTTGAAAGTATGCATTTTATCACAGGGCAATAATCTGCAACATTGTGAAAACATGACCTCATGACCTGAGTATGACCTCAGTTTGGCCATGATTTTCGCGAAATTTTGTTCACCGCTAATCCTAAGAGGGGGACGATTGAGAAATCCTATACCAACAAAATTCAGGGATCTCTCGTGAAGCGAAAGTGTGTTTCAGTATCCTGAGTAGATTACTTGTTCTTGTAGAGTACTAATGCATGTCTGAATTCAAAGTGAATTTGTTAATATTTTGTATTACGTAAAGTAATAGAATAAATAGAACATATTCTGACTGGAGCCACATATATCGGTTTTCTACTGGTGAATCTGCATGCTTTAGCTTTCATGATGGTGACCAGGTGTTTTCCATCTTTGATATATGGCTGTACTGCACTGACGAAGGCAGAAACACGTTGCTGCAGTTCACCAACCATCTACTCTTTCTCTTGATCGGTCGTGATCTTTCTCTCTGATTATATATTTTGTCTATAAAGTCAATTGATGAAAAAATGAAATTTATTCACTGACATTATCATCTCCTGATAATGCTAATATATATAGGTTCTAGTCAGAAGTGACAAAATTGAAAACAACTCCCTATGAAACTGAAATATATGTGTATATATTGTGTGGATTTTCCAAATATTCCTTGTTTTATGATTCAGTTTCTATCGACCTAAGACTCTTCTTTTTACACATCCCCTCCACACTATTTCTGCTGATTGTATATGAAAGTCTCAATTATAAAATAAATGCATATTTTTTGTTCTTGGTTTTTGTTGAAACTGTCCCTAACATACCATTGTTTATGTTGTGTAAAACGATGCCTGGTGAAATTTTAAATTATGAAGTGTTTGAAAGACATGCTACCCGCAAAGCGTTGGAATGTAAAGTGGGTTGTCTAACTTATACGTAATAATTGAAATTCATTGTTCCTCTGAAATGTTCAGTTCTCGCGCGGTTCCTATAACCGAGTATAACCAATAAAAACATACATTTTTTTTATATGTTGTATGTGATGGTACAATCTACGGATGTTTTATTCGAGGGGATTCAAGTCAATCTACTTTGGTGATTACACATTTTGATGTGTGAACTATTTTGTTTTGAACTATCAAGTAACTATTATATAAATTTACAGTAGCGGCCTGGTTATTTATTATAGGTAAGTTTAATATTATAGCTTTATGTAATTGCCTAGAAATGTTCATTTAAATTTTCGTGTGGACCACAACTTCCTTATGCCAAAAATTTTGTAAGTAGATTATTTGTACATGAATAAATCATTTCAGCATGGACAAATCCGAAACCACGCCAATCTGTCTCTCTCAACCTGAGATTATTGGTCTCAGTACACTATCATTGACAGAAAGTATCAGTTGAGAGATTTCAAAACTGACAATTGACATATTTTTAACAGCGATACATTTCATCAATTATGAAATTGACAGAGACCATTCTTGGTCGTAGGGTTGTAACGAAATAATTAGCTTTGAATCTTCCAAACATCCTCTGATAATTGTGCTAGATAGAAAGAAATCAATTCATAATGGTAAATATTTATTATTGTTAATCTGTACAATGGTTACGAGATAGCTGCATACATAATAATTACATACAATATATAATAAATATACAAAATTACAAAATTACTACAACTCTAAAATATCCTTGTATACAATCAATAAAATTTTCGCAAAAATATTTTAAGAATTTAGGCCACTAGTACATTGACTTGTTAAATTTTACATTCAAATATCATATCGCGATATTCACTATGTTCATGGTAGCTCAGACATCCAAATACTTTACAAAGCATACAACTCCCTTTGTTAAGTCTTTCCTAATATTCCAATTGTTTTTTCAAAAATGAATCTCTCTTAAAAATATACCCCTTTCAATTTGAACTGAAGATCCTATTTGACATAGAAATAAAAATCAACAGGTTAGTGATAAAGCTCGGGTCAATATTTGTTTTGTGATATTTTCATGCAATATAAAGTAAGTCCTGATTGCATTAGGAAACTAGTATCATGAAACTTCAATGTATTGAAAAATTGACAAGCAAATTTCAATATTTGAGTGCCATAGAGGATTTGGATTCTGAAATCGTCCAGTATGGAGATTAAACTTCTATGTCACGGGACAGGACAAAATCAAACATAATGAGAAAACCTGGTACCCAAAATATTTCATTTCTGGAAATTCGTCAGTGAAAATATATCTTCTTATGCACACTTAGTTACCTGGCTGCTATTTTTATGTTTCTCACTTCAAGTATTTCTACAAGTTTCACGTAGATATTTTAATCTCTCCCACGAATGTGTTATGAAGTCAGGTATTAGTGAATCTCCTTATCAATAGAGACTGACATAGCCACGTCTCATACGTGGACAATTACAGAAGAAAATGATCTCAGTTTTACCCAGCATGCACGCATCTCAATTAGTTGAACACCATCTGAGGTCTTGCCAAGTAACACATGGCGCAGTTAGTAGGATTTAGATCTTAAAGAATTATTACTGACGATGGTGAAATACTGAGAAGAAACAGAAATTTTTCAAAAAATTCAGTTTCTTCTTTTCGATTCAATGGCCTCAGCAACAAAAAAATCCAGATTACCAACAGTTTGTGATAACGTCGAACCTTCCTCTGAGGAACTAGCAATAGCAGATATTTAGGGTTAAGGGATGACAAGCCTCACGAGAATTAAGAAAATATAGATGTAGAAGACACGAATAGTGCCGTTGCCTGAATGTAAGAGACAGTGTGAAAATATATCATTAAAAAATGTGAGCTTGAGCTTTAGCAGTTTTGTGTCAACTGATTCAGTTGTTGGTAATACACATTATAACGTAACAGTGGACGGCAACGGTGTGAGTAATAGTAGTAGCTCTAGGTACTTTAGTCTATGCCTGAATAAGGGTTTGAATATATAGAAATTCTTCCTTCGACATCGAGGTCAGGTGGGAAAATTTAGAAAAACCAAGTTGGATGGTTATGTTACATAAAGGTAACAACTGTTAATCTATTTGTCAAGAGTTTCGGTTATATCTCATTGAAGTTGTTCATTTTTAATTCTGTGGAGGGAAAGAAAACGTGGAGTGTTCATTATAACATATAGAGTTATATTGATACAAATTAAGGTGTAACAAAGTGTTAGTTCGTATTTCAAGATGAAAGTTTCACAAAAAGCGTTTCCTCAATAGGTACTTTTAAAGAAAAAATATCATGTGAAATTGTACATTGCATGAATAAGTTGTTATCTTTGGTTGCTTGAATTTTCTGAAAGTGACAATGAATGTGATTTTATCTAGTGAGGGGAATTTGATATGAAGTTAGGCATTATTGAACGCACCCTTGTCAATACAAATTGACCTACACGTCATCATATGCGGCCACTTGCAGAAAATAGTAAAGTCAGTTGTCAACCATCATGCATATTTTTCATTTTGTAAAACCCAATCTGAAGTCTTGCCAAATAGCACATCATCAAGAAACGTGATTAACTAAAAAAGTTTTCCATTTGTGACATAGGATGTCGCCACCATAATTGAAAGTCACGATAATCGGATGTTTAGTACATTTTGACGCCGATGAGGGACATCTCTTCAATTTCAAGCGCGTACGCATCTACTCTTATGCGAACTTTACCTTCAAAAAGTTTGCAAAAGAAAAGCTACACTAATCCGAAATCCGTGTGCACGACGTCGCAGTTGTTCTGCTTCTCGACGTTGGCAGCCATATTCAATTCGACCAGCGTATCGACGCTGTTGATGCTGACGCCCTTCAGAATTTTCTGAGCGGCCAAACTCGTGAAATTAAAGCTGAGGTCACTCAGGCTGGGAAACTGATGGTTGCTGTTCTCTCTGGTCAGCGTCCGTTCTTTAAAGCAAATGTTCGGCTCGGAACCCATTATGTTTTTGTCGGCGCCTTTGCCGTTTTCCAAAAGCTGGAAAGACTTTTCCAGGGACGTTTTCGACCCCACCTCGTTCTTGATGAACTTGCCAGAGGAGAGCGGCGAGATACCTTCGAAGCTCTTCGTCGGACTAGGAGGGCTGCTCTTGAACAGCGGGGTCTTCGATATCTCCCTGAAAGTGTTCGCTATTGGCGAGTCCGGGTTCGAGTTGGAATTGAACTGGTTGTGCGAGACGTTCTTGATCACGTTGTGGTAGTTCAAGCTGTCCCTAGACGGCAACTGGAGCGAGAGTTTCCTGCTGTTGTTCATCGTCTCGAATTTCGACTCGTTGTTAATCGTGTCTCTGGAATTGTTCAAGCTGTGCAGCGACTCTTTCATGTGGTTCGTGTTCTTGGCTGGTTTGAAGTCGTCTGTCTCGCTCGCTGACGCCGCTACGTCGCTCTTCTCGCCACCGTTGATAATCACCAAGTTGGGATTCCCGTCGTCCTGCCCGTTCTCGAAAGTGATCACCGACCTCACTGGACAGTTCTGGACGAATATCTTCGTGTTTCCGCCTGCGCCGCCGTTGATGGCCGTAGTGGCGCTGGCGTTTATCTTGTTGTTCACGTTCAATCCGTTCTGGTTCGTCGTCACTTGGAGTGTGAACGAGTTGCTGTGCGACATCGAGGATTTGGGAGCTGCCGCGGTACTGACTTTGGGGCTGTACTTGCTCTTGTCTTTCCTGTGGATCTTCTTCGGTATCCTCGGGTCTATCCTAATGGGCGAATCCACCAGGCTCTTGTTGATGACTGTCTTGTGCGACTCCAAACTAGATGGCCCGCTAGTTAGGGAACTGCCGGTTTTGCTGCTCTTGTGCGATTCGATGCTGCTTGGGCCACTGTTGTCTATGCTGGAGAGGTTCTTTACCGGGGAATCTGTCGGTGAACCGGCGTTTTCCTCGTAGCTGAAATTCGTTGTGCATCTATGACTAGTTTTGGTGGATTCTGCAGCTGGTACGCACAGCCTCTCGTTGAACTTCGATGAAGGTTCCGTTTCTTGCGGTTTCTCTTCGACTTTGACTTCGGTCACGACCTGGGGCTTGGTTAGGCTGCTCCTGCTAGTTTTCCTTGAGCTTTCCCTACTTCTGTAGCCGTGTTTCCTCGGTAAGGTACTGGTGGCGTACGAGGAGTTGGCGTATCTCGATACGGGAGAGTTTTCTCTGGACCCGGTTAAGGGCGTTCCGTAGTTTAGATCACCGGACGGCAATCTTCGGTGGTTTCGTGGTAACGTGGCGGATCTCGATGAGCCAATGTCGCAGGTTTCCAAGTAGGCGGCGATATTGAGACCCGTTTCCTGAAAAATACAGTATGATAATATGTATTAACTACTTCTGAATACAGATGAAAAGACAGGATATTGACCTAACACCAAGATCGTCTTCTGAAGACTTCAGTCTTTTGGAGTTATTGCTAGAATATAAATTTCCAGAGTAGTTGATCATAATATACAGGTGTGTTATAAGCGAAATAGCAGATGAAGGCAGAATAAATATGTTTAGGGATAACTATGAAGTTGATTAGTGGTATTGGGCAAAGCCATTATTGTTTTGATGTTTTGTGCCAACGAAATGCAATTATTTTTTTGGTGTATTGGTGGTGTTGTGTCTCGATGACGGAGGTTGAAAAATCTTTAATAATTTGAAAAATGTATACCTTTTCTGTTGCCGAAGTTTGGGTCCCTACATTATGTAAGTGTACTGCTTTGGAGTTGAACCATTCCGTAGGAGGAAATTGAGCACTGAACGTTCCAATGTGACATTGCGAACGCTTTGATCTTCGGAAAAGCCTGGACAGCAAAGATTCTTTTTCTGTAAAGATATGTTCAATATTTACTGATTTGATGAAACACAACCTTTTTGAAATATTTTCAATGTAACTCAGCTGATGATATATATTTATTAATTCTAAGTTCTCTGGGTCACCTAGTTCTACATAAACTTTGACAAATTGAATATTTTTCAAAATAATATTATCAAGTACGGCAGTATTGAAAATAATAAGTAATCATACTTGGTGTGGGTGTCGAATCTCCACTGTTGGGGTATTCGGTACTGCTACTGGTATCGACGTAATGCTTGGCGATGGTCCTAGTCGAAGCCGATCTTCTTAACCTCCTGCTAGAACTCCAGAGTCGAAAAGAACCCCTTCGGTCTGGGCTTCTGGGGGCGGGAAAAGACGCGGATCGTCTCTTCGTTCTCGGGTAAAGTATTTTATCACTGGCGTTTCCTACAACAGTAAAATTGAAAAAAGAGTTATACAGTACTAGACTAGAGTAAGTTCCCACCTATTAATTTTTGAACCACGCGATATATGGTAACAAAAATTGGAAGGTTTCAATAGGGGACGAAAAGCAACTCTTTCATTCATTATTAATTATCATTATTAATTTTTTAATAATTATTTTACCTCCACAAATAACATCCGCTAAATTGGTCTGTATACATTGGTGGGTTATATTTCCATCCCTTACAGTAGCCATATCTCCATGAACCATGGCCATTGCCTCTTCAGTCGACATGAGCATCGACTTATTCGGAACGTAGTCCATGTTGATTTCATCTTTTTTCCGGTTTCTGGACTGGCTCCTAGATCTTCGTCTTCTGAAGATGGAAAAAAAAGTTTTCGTTGAAAGTGCTTTTGAGAAAAAAATAAGTGATGAAAAGCGTTATCGATAAAAACTCACTTTTAAGTAAAACTTATCTGTGTTTCTAATCTATTCAACACTAAATAAATCACGGTTGATTGCAATAATTTTGTTATAGCTTATTTGTGGAGTGTGTGTGTTCTGTGTGGGTGACTGTGTGTTTATGAGTATCTGTGTCTGTGACTGTGACTATTGTGTCTGTGTTTATTTGTATGTATAGTTACTGTGTGATATACATTTCTAGAGAATCCAATACGTCATTAACTTGTCGTATTCATATCTTTTAGCGAGTGTTGTTCATTCTTCTCACTCGACTATACTGCACTGACGAAGAATAATGATCCAGAAACACATCTCTGCAGTTCACCAACCGTTTACCTTTTTAGTGATTGTTCGTGATTTTTCTCTTTGATTATAATCCTTATGTTAAGAAATACAACACAGAGAAGCAGTTAAAACCATAGAAACCATATAAAAACACAGAACATGAAAACAGACATGTTGAAATAAGTATGCATTTCATCACAGGGCAATAATCTGCAACACTGTGAAAACATGACCCCATGACCTATAAGTGACATAATACAACACAGAGAAGCAGTTAAAACCTCAGAATAATAATAAGACATAGAGTTGCCATGTCTGTACGGTGGCCTATACCAATACAATACATGTGTTTTGAAACGGATATCCTACTATCTAGATTTTCATTTATGTATGGCTTTATAATAAAGCGCGTGGTTTACTGAGATAAAATTGAATTATTTCAAATGAACTAATTGATAACAATGATAAATATGTTAATTTCAAAAGTAGTGAACTTTGCTTCAGAAAATCAGATGAAGGAATTTGTGATTTATTCTTAGATTTGATAAACAAGCGGTACGGTTTGTGAGGTCCGATATAAAGAATTTTCGATTAGAAATCATGAATATTCATAAAGACGATTGATGTTTGATATTATTATGTGTGACGAACAGATTAAAAAACTTTCTGTTCAATGTTCAGTCTGTATACTAAATAGTTATTCTTATGCAACCGGTGTTATATCTGTTATTGCTCACTTAACAACTAACTTACGTCACACAAAAAATATGATCTCCGTTTTGGTTTTTCTTTCTTTGCATGAGGCTTTCGAGTTGCATACAGACAATATTCAATAAGAAATGACGATTGTCATTTTTTTAACCTCTTTTTGGTTGGGATATGTCAAATAATGAAATAATGTAAACCTAGTTTCAAAAACTTCATTTATAAGAATAAGATCGAAAAAAACGATCATTACAAACATCAAAAATATCCCCTTTCATAATGTCAGTCCACAAAGAACCCTAGATACCAATTTTTAATGAAATCACAGACTAATATCAAACCCCAATCGTAATTATAAATATTCATGATTGCCTCTTTATATCGGAGCTTACAAACCGTACCGCTTGTTTGTCAAATCTGAGAATAAATCACAAATTTCTTCATCTGATTTTATGAAGCATAGTTCATTACTTTTGAAATTAACATTTATCATTGTTATGAATTAGTTCATTCGAAATAATTTAATTTCAACCCAGTAAACCACGCGCTTTATTATAAAGCCATACGTAAATAAAAATCTAATAGGTACTTAGGTGGTGATAAACTGGCCTCATTTTCATAATCATTAATAATAAATCAGATTTCCTGTAGGAACTATTTGAACAGAATACATTTTCACCTGAAATGATTTATTTTATAAATATATAATATCCCTCCGGTTATCAACTAAACCGACCGCCACTGTTTTATGGTACAACTTACTTCCCTAAACAAACAAAGTTATGCTGCCTTCAATGTAAGGATGGAAGAGGCCTCTCTATTGTCTTTCGTTACTCTGAGATTGCGTCTGTGTCTGTTGGTACATATGTCATGTCTTCGTCTAGTGTGATTGTGTGTCTTTTTTTGTTTTATATTACAAGTTCAATAAGTTAAAACTTTTCTTCCGAATATATAACAGCAGTGTCATCGACAAAATTTATACATTTTCCTTCCATTTTCAATTCGAAATAGCAATAAATATAAATGAGACAGACTATCATATATGTTTCCATTCAAACAGTATGTAAATTCAAAATTGACACAAATACGCGAACCTACTAGTAGTGACATCTGCACTTACTCGGGCGTTACTATAAAATATCCACTAGACGTATTATACAGTTTTCTTTCCTTCATCAACTGCACCAGGGTATCGTACATGGCCTGCTCGCTAGGTGGCGACACGTGGGGAAATGCAAGAATCAAAGATTCTCTGATAGTTTCGATGCCGGCCGGTCTTCCTTGGCTCGACAATCTCAGGATAACAGAGCAAACGGCTTCGGGAAGGGGGGTCCATTGGGTCTGGGTTACTGGGGCGGTGGCACAATGTTCTACGTCTTCTGCAAGATACGAAATCAAAACAATTACTCAAGATAAAGAAATCAGATAGTTTCCATAATCCAAAACCGGCTAAAGGTATGGAATGCCCTCTGAACACGATGAATTGAGGTCCTTCAACCCTTGCACGTTTTGAAAATACTAAAATTCACTTTAAAAATGACGCAATTATTTCCATACCTAAAGCTACTATTTGGTATCCAGGCGGTGGTTGTAGAACCCTTCTTGCCCAAGCGTTTCTCAATATTTCCAGCGCGCATGGTTCTGATCCCACCAATAATGCCCCTGGGTTCACGTATCCATGATAAACTAAACTTTTCGTCGCTCCATTCAAACCATTATTCCACCAACAAACTGAATTAGAGGAAAGTAATCCCTGCAAAAAAAAAACGGTTGAAACAAAAACCGGTGAGTATATTTTTGGCAAAGAATTCATGAGAGATGAATTATCCATATTTGGAAAGTCGACAGTGGATGACGCGAATGAAAAGAACGTATGGCACGAGAAAATGAAGATATTATATTGAGAGGAGAGAACCGAAGGAAGGGGGGGGTGGATCAGGTTTGTGAACGAACAGGCAGAAAATGTGGTGAGGGATGAACGAGAAGGATGATTGGCAAGCTACGAGCTTACCGCTGATCAAAAGAACTGGTCTGAGGGCTTGGTTATTAATGTCTCCAAGTTTATCAATTGTTAGTTGATAGGTAAAAGATTACGTCGATATAGAAATAAATTATAACATGGGCAATGTAAGAAATAAGAAAGCTGAATAAAAAAGGGCAATCTTCACCCGTTACTTCGTCCCTCCATGTGGACAATGTTATGCGTCAGCGACACGAAAGGGAGAGAGTACGGAGGAGTAGGAATTCCCTTGGCAGTGGTGGTGCTAGACAACGTGAATATGCTAAGTTGTAAGTTTTTTGGGTCAGGGCAACGTAAGGTAATGGCACTTTTCATGTACAGGTTACGAAACCTCAATACGTTTCGATATATAATAGCTTCCTTAGGCCTGTTAATACTTACAGTACATCAGGGTGTTACTCGAGTTCGTGGTTTTCTTCAGCCTCTTTTGCAGGTGGTATGAAGATTCAAAACCGATTGTTTCGTTCATTTTCTTAAACAGTGTCTTTCCAGCTGGTGAACAGGTTAAATTCCCAGGAACTTCAAGCAAAATCTAACCCTGGATTACCGTGTTTCTACTGTAACTACACGGTGTCACTTAAAAATTTAAAATTCACTGATCTGGAGCTCAAAATCTCGTCCGTACAGTCAAAGGGCGTTAAATATTGAGTTGACACGAAAACGAGCTTTACAGTCTGTTACAAAGCGTTAGTCTTGCGCTTGATATTTCTGAGGCCTTTGACTGTGTGTGTCATGAGGGTTTGCTGGACAAACTTCGATACTAAGACTTGTCGGATCATTTGTGTATGGCTCTGCAGCTTCCTGAAAGAACGTTCCCTGAAAGTGGTCGTCGATGGATATCTATCAAAGACTTTAACCATCAACGCTGGTGTTCCCCAGGGATCCATGTTGTCTTCAACCCTCTTTTTATTGTGGATCAACAACACATTGGAAGAAAGCAAGAATCCAATATATTACTTTGCTGACGACATCACACTTGTCTCGTCATTCCATTTGGATTCCAGAACATCGGCTGCGAGTCCACAACTTCACCGGCAGCAGGAGGTTGCATATTTTAATGAGGGTCTAGAAGTGATTTCGAATTGGGGTCCAGGTTCAATTCAATGCCATGAATACCCAGGCATCGGTTTTCTCCAAAAATATAAATGTCTCTGTGTTACGGGCTTTTTCCTGGCCCAGAAGGAGTCTTTATATAAGGTGTAAGAGTTTTATCAGTTGTTACTCTGAAGGGTGAAACAGTATCAAAATTTTATAGTGCTCTACCGAAATCCAGTATTTGAGGTAAGGTAGAGCACTGGTTAGCTCAGTGAAGACGGGTGGTTCGTATTTCCTAAGTAGTTCAATTAATGCAACCTTTTTCTTTGGAAAGAGAGAGAGAGAGAGAGAGAGAGAACGTCTATATTACGTGACTTTACAAACTCACTTTCTAATATACTAACACCTAGTTCTGTACGTACTAGGGGTTGACACAAGTCTAATTTATTTATATAGTTAAACAAGTTATAGCTTGACAATAACTACAAATAACTTGGCTGGTGACGAAATTATGTGTCAAAAGAAAAAGGCAATAATCAAAGAAATAATGGTGGTACTCATCCGATTCGTTAGCTTTCTTCCCTTTTTGGCAGCAACCTGAGAAGTTGAAAATGCACTCCCACAACTTCCAGGAAGTAGCGGAACTGTCAGGCTTTCGAATTTCAGAAAATCTTTTATTACATTATCCAAGGGCATAAAATAAAAAAGGCCTAGAGGACTATAGAATAGGACTATAGAATAGTTTATCAACTATTTTATCCGTACCTTTCATGGTTTATGTGAAGTTATCCACGCTTTTCTAGCCACGCTTTTTGACTTGTAGACCATCGACTTCGGGATAGAGGAGAATATCCATCCACTGTTGCCAAGTTTCACATAATTCCTAGCCACGCTTTTGTATGCCCCAAATTGTAATATATTATGAAAATAATAGTTTGAGGAGATTTTAAGGATGCCCTGAATGTATTATGCGAAATTCATCAACGATCATCCACTATTACCGGAGATATGAGAAAAAATATGTTAAAAATATCAGTTTTTATTTTTTCCACTTTCATACTCTGCAAAATTTTTTCAAGAAATTAAAAGATAAGATGAATTAGGAATTTTTCGTTTCTAATACATTCAGGGCATCCTTAAAATCTCCTCAAACTATTATTTTCATTATATATTGTAATTTGGGGCATACAAAAGCGTGGCTAGGAATTATGCGAAACTTGGCAACAGTGGACGGATATTCTCCTCTATCCCGATGTCGATGGTCTACACGTCAAAAAGCGTGGATAACTTCACATAAACCCTTTGATGAAGGGTGGCCTTAGAATCTGATTTCAGCTTTATATCCCCTTTAAAAGAGGTTATAACAACTAAGCTCACAACACTAGTTGTTAAAAATGGAACACGGCAATTCAATTCCTAATCGTGGGTATTAGTAATGAAAAATAATCCAGAACTCGTATTTTCACACTCACTAAATGAACACACTGTGCTCCTGCCTGAAATCTTTTATTACTGATTCGAATTTTAAAATCTTGGAAAGGGTCTGGGCTACCGTTCACGAATCAAAATAATTAATATCATTTATGATGCACTCTTTCTAACCTTTGGTGTAGAAATGAATATTACTGGAGTTTTTTCCCAACACCAAATCAATAACGATAAAAAACCAAAAGAAACTTATCAAACGATTGAAAGACAAAGACGTTTTTTATTTGAAAGCCGACAAAGGTAACAAAGTAGTAATTCTGGATAAATCGGACTACTACGAAAGGGTCAATACTCTCATTACTAACGGACCGTATGCGAAAAAAAACGTCCTCAAGAAATGCGACAACATACTTACCTCTCAACTGAAACGGAAGTTACAAGTTTCCAACCCAACGGTGTCGAAACTAAATTGCCTCCCAAAAATCCAAAAACCGGGAAAATCAATGCGCCCCATCGTGTCAGCTATTGGAGCTCCTACCTACCACATAGCAAAGTGGCTCACTAAGGAATTTGAAACCTTGTCTATTGCGGAACCAGGTTTTAGTATAAAAAACTCTTTTTAGAGTTCATACAACATACAAAATACATGGTTCTACAAGAAGGTGAGATGTTGGTATTTTTTGATGTTAGGTCCTTATTTCCTAGCGTCCCAATTCCACAGACCTTGCAATACCTCAGGGAATTACTTAAGAAAAATAATTTCAATAATGACGAAATCGATGAATTCGTTTCTCTTACTAATTTGTGTATGAAACAAAATCGGTTCCAGGTAGAAGGTTGCTTTTATGAACAACAGGAAGGAACTGCCATGGGAAACCCCTTGTCCCCCTACCTGGCAGAGCTGTTCACGAGCAGATTCGAAATGGAAACCAAAGAAAAGTCAAAGTATTTTCTCAGGATTTGGCAAAGGTATGTGGATGATATTTTCGCGATATTCGATAGCAAAAAATCGAATATTGAGGACTTTGTTTCCTTTTTAAATAATAGATGTCCATCAATAAAATTCACGTATGAGTTAGAAAATAATGGAAAACTACCATTTATAGACGTTTTGGTAATGAGGAGCCAATATGGAGGGTTAGACTACGATATATTTAGAAAAGAAACAAGCACGTACAGGTATATTCCTGACAGTTCACATCACTGTGGACAGCACAAACGGGCTGGGTTGAATTTTTTAGTGCATCGTCTTTTGTCTTTCCCTCTAACACATGATAGGTTCACAAAAGAAAGACGTACAATATAGGAAATAGCAGCCACTAACGGTTTCTCGAGGGGTATTATAGATGACATAATAAAGAAGAAGAAGTCTAGGTTAAGAATGAACGAAATCTCGACTTTCAGAATGGACAAAAACCAAAATAAATACATCTCAGTTACATACCACCAATATACGAATCAGCAGTCGCCCATCATATTTTGCAACAAAACCATTCCATAGACTTCAGTTATTTAGATTAGTTAGGCAAGTTAACAACAACAGACAATTAGATGCCTATGAGAGTGTGGAAATAAGTAAACACAATAATATTATGAATAACGATGACGGACCTATACCAAATAGCATACTGTATAGCTTGTTAAAATAATATTGTTGGGTTTACTGATTACTACATAAAAACATATTGCAAAAAATGAATTTAGATAGGCAATATCGTGAAATTAATTTTATATAGCTGAAAATTGTTTTATATACAGTTAAACATATAACGTAAAATAATAGATAAGGCAAAATTGTAAAATTAATTTAGGGTGGTAAACCTGTATGCCTTGTACACCTGTAGAGTTTACCTGTATAGCATAAATAGCGTTAGCTTCGCGTTAGTTTCTAGTTTAATCTTCCTCTTGAAGATGATCACTTGGTGATCGAAACACGTGTCGAGGTTTTAAAAATAACGATTTGGTGTTGGAAAAAAACTCCAGTAATATTCATTAATATCATTGTTGAACTTTCTTGTCCCACTCATGAGAATATTACACCTAATTTGGTAGCTAATTGTCGGTGATTGATGCGGAGCGATATTTAAAGTTGATGAGACATCGAGAAACGTACCTAGTCGCGAACTTTGCAGAACAATGACCTTCATATAATTCATCGAATATACGAAACAGACAGACAACCACTCTAAGAGAAATTATACTGTAACTATAATGATGTCAGGACAAACAATTCCGCTTTCTGCTTCGATAAGTTTGTTGAGGGTTAAGAT